TTAGCGTAGCGCTGATGTATCGTGTGCATCATGTGATCGGTGGACCAGGAAATCAGGCGCTGACAAACGTTCCATGTTGTCTGGATGCAAACTGCGTTATTGTTGTTGTAATTAATTAATTGTAATTAACGCTTTAAAGTACATTAGGGGTGGGACTTTAACGCCTTATTTCTGCATTAATTAACACATTAAAGTCCCACCCCTAATATAAACTTATCTTTAGTTTGCCTCCTACTGTGCAGCTCTTTCTCACTAATTAAAACCCTTTGTCAGTTTACATGAGTGACATTAGAAACATAAGAAAGATGACGCAGTGTAAAGTTCCCGTCCATCACCCACAGACCCAGCATCGGTATCTCCCTGCTGGTTCAACATCTCCACCTTCATAGAACACACAGAAAATCATCACCTCACAGGGTTTGACATTTCAAAAAAGGTTTGCAGCAAGAAATGGACATAAAACTTTGACAGTAACTTTGGTAAAGACTTCCAGGGCTTCGGCTGCGATCACATTAACCCATTCACTGCCGTCTTTGCTGTTAAAGCTCCTCTGCCAACAAAGCTTGAGGTATTATATCCAAATAAACCTGGAGTTTTTCCCTCCTGGAACTTACCGTCAAACAATATCTACCTCAAAAAAAAGTCGTACAGTTCCAGTCAAAACAAGTCAGAATGAGTCGCAGGGTTTTTTTTTTTTTTTGCTTAAAACTCAACTATTTGAAGCAATTTTGCATCATCAGAAACAAGATAATTGCTCTGATATGACAAATGAATGTGCTGCCTTTTAAATCACATCAAAATACAGTTTTTCCACATTCACATATTTGTTCTTGAACAAAATCATATCAGCCAAAGGAAAAGAAAAGAAATGACAGCCTACTATTTGTGACTCAGGTTTTTTTTGTGTGTGTGTTTTTGTGTGTGTGTGTCTAAATGTATTTGTGTTTTTTTGCCTAAAACTCTCTTGCTCTTTTCCAAACTCTGAAACTTTGCCATTTATCCAGGGTTATTTTCATTCTGCCGTTTGGGAGCATCCGTATGCAGATAGAGCTGACGGGAATGATATATCTGCCCATGCTAACACCTCGCCCACACATTTAATATGTCTACAGACGCAGGCAGCTGCACTCCGCTGTACACACACACACTTACACTCTCGGCTTATATATCCACACACACACACACACAAACCCACTCGTGCTCTCACACTCGCGGATTAACACACATGCACAGGCACGTGTAGAGGCGAAGATGAATGAATTATCGGGAGTTTGCTTTGGTTGTGACTCGCAGCTACATATGGCCCCATTGTTCTAATGTGTCGGAGTGTGTACGAGTGTGTGTGTGTGTGTGTGTGTGACCTGTGTTCAACATGGTCTAAAACTAAAGGCATTAGTCCACTAGACCAAACTAATGTGATTTTCTATTAATGCGATGCCCTGGGTGCATCCTGTGTTGAACGGACTGCACTCACACCTTCACTTTGTGTCAGCTCATTAATTTACAACCACCGAGTCAACGCCGGGGCTATTTATTACTCACTTTTTCTTTTTATTTATTTGTTTTTTTTATGCACATGTTTCCGTTACCATTCAGACTTGTTATTCTGCTTCTCGTACACATGCAAACCCACACACATTGTGCTAAAACACACACACACACGGGGAGCTTTTATGACTGTAGTCTGAGTATCTGTCAACCTTGTCAGTGATTAAGTGTCTGCCGTTAAATATGCTGTGTGTGTGTGTGTGTGTGTGTGTGTGTGTGTGTGTGTGTGCATTTCGTGTGTGACGTGGATGAGTACTAATTTGCAAGGCTGAAGCAGTGATTGTGTGTGTCGTAAATTAGCTTGTGTCGTGTGTGTGTGCAGCGACGGTAAATCTCTCCTGCCACCGTATGACTTAATGCATATTGCTAAATCTATAAATGTAACCAATTAAGCGCGCGGCCGTAAATTCGAACCGCGAGCAGATGAAGTCTCTAAATCTTCGGCGGCGACTTACCTCCACTCAAATCGCACCTGACACGTTTTACAGCGCGCTTAAAACGTGTTTACATTGACTTACGGCGGTTGTCGTGGTAACCGTCCGCACCCTGCATCAAAAGTCTGAAAGGCACCAAGTCAGTCAACAGTGGCTTAGTTCCATCAAAATGAGCCAAACAGCACAAAACAGGGATCCAGAGATGAGCTTTCCTAAATGGAAGGCAGGTATTTTTCACGTTAGCAGTTTCAGCTAAAACAGATTTATGCTGGAAGCAAGTTGTGCTTGTTTGCAAATAGTCAGAATTAGTCTAACTAGTCTGCTAGCATCATTGCCGTTTTAACTTGTTTGTTTCAACACAATAAATGTAAAAAGTATGTTAACAGTGAAAGGAAACTGATGTTTGTGCTGTTTTAAGCAAAAGTACAAACGGGCATGTAAGCTGTTTATGTGCAACTAATGTGTAAATATATTTAATTTTATACAGATGGACATAGAAAAGTTGTACACGCGTCCAAAAGAATGTTAAATATTTGTTGGAATCACTTCCTAAAACCATTTCTGATAGGTTTGTTCTTAAGTGGTTATCTTACAGGGCTTTTTTTTTTGTAATTTTAAATATTAACATTTTATTGGGCTTATTGTTTTACATATTGTGTTAGTAGCAGTCGTAGTAGTAGTACTAGTAGTAGTAGTAAAAGTAGTAGAAGTAGTAGTACTGGTAGTAGTAGTAGTAGCAGTATTGTAGTATTCGATCTAGTGACTTTTGTAGGGCACTGTATACCCATGCTGTCAGTAAAATAGACTTATGACATATTTTAACTGCTGAAACATGTTGATGTGAATGAACCTTACCTTAAAAACAGTCTCAACAAAATTAGTATTATTTTTTTATTATTCTGACCATATTGTTCGATTTTTCTTCGGCATGACATAACATTAGACTAAACAAAATAATACTTTACTATCCTTTCTAGCCGACCTCTTTCATATCTGAGCAAACGCCAAAATGACGTTTGAACAGAAATTTGGTCTGAAGTTATTTTATTTCTTCTACTTTCAGGCCTTTATTTTGACAGAGAGAGCAGAGAGGAGGAGAGAAGGACATGAAATATGGAGGGAAATCCAGAATTCAAACCAGAGATCTGCTTTGCTGAAGTGGTTTTTATTAATATAGACTGCTAATGGCAAACATGTGCCACAGCAGCTAATAGGGGCAAAAAGTTAATGAGGTAGTCGGGAATATTGTGGAGATTAGTATTCGCATTGCTAAATATTCGAATTTATTTGAAGAAGAAAAAATAAAGTTCAACATTCTTTAGGCTTTTTTTCTTTACACACTTTTAGGACAGTCCCTTACTACAGCTTCTATTTACCGTCACTAATGAGGTTTAATGTAGTAACACCAGTCAGGCTTCATGGTGGACAATCTGGCATAAACTCTAAATATCTGCACTTTAAAGTTTTCAGCCTATTTGTTTACATTCTGTCAAATCTGTAATACAAGACCTCCTGCTGCTGCGTCGGCTCTAAACACAATCACCTGCATTATGGCGACACCAAAGACAACCTCAGAGTTTCTGGGCTGAGATGGAAAGTTAACCGAGTTCTGCTCTTTTGTGTGATTTCTTGGACTTTATTCTCGGTGGAGTCTGAGATCTTGTGGGTTCGTGACTCAAAGCCGGAACCAGACGACTGATGCGGGATCTAAAGAGATGGAGCACAAGCTCATAGTGAACACTGTAATGTGACGGGCGTTACTGGACTCCACGTCGTGTTTCTGATCAAGACATTCGTGGTAATCAATCGAACAGCAGGAAAAAAAAAAGACAATATTACAGCAAAAAAATAAAAACTGACCGGCTTCATATTCAGACGACACACCAGCTCCTGCCGGCGCTGCATAATGAGCAGGAGGAGAACAATAACAATGAGGAGGACTTCTGAGGCAGATTCAGAGGCTTTATTGCTGCAGGGGGGAGGCTGTGATTCAGAGGGAAGGCCTCGTGGCGAGTGCCTGGAGGGTGACAGTTAAAAGAGAGCACATCTATCTGAGAGCACGAGGAGGAAAAAAAAAGGAGCCGGAGGAAGAGGAAGAAGATAGAGAGGAGGAGGAAGAGGATGTGGAGGGGGGAGGAAGTCCATTTGGGAAAGCTCCTTGTCATTTTCCACGCTGACCTCAACGTCTCGCCGGCTCTTACTTGTCTTCCATCTACAACTTGTTTTCTGTTCTTTCCGGCTGACCTGGTCTCACCCCGACATCCCCGCAGCACATTTCCTCTCACTTCTCCTCCCTTTTCATTTGCTCCTGACCTCCTCCTCCTCCTTCTTTATTACTCCGAATCTCTATTGTCACGTCTCTCTGCTATTATTACTCTTGTTTGGCTCTCTTGTACTTTTAAGAAATCGACCGTATAGGGAAACGCAGTGTAGGAATAACAGAGCAGGCAAACATTTGGTTGTAAGAATTAAATCAAAACAAGGAAGATGCTTTGGTTCAATTCCAACTCCTACGTGTTCCTTTAGATTTCTGACTCTGGTTCTGCAGCGAACACATGTAGAAAGTAAAACATTTTCTCTGTGTAGCTCTTTTAATCTGTTCGTCTGTTGCCACCCCTGCCCCGGAACAAACAAACCTTACAGACACCTTTAAAATGTATATTCAGACTTTTATTGCCTTGAAGGTAAAGGAAAATATTTCCAAATAAAACAAGATAAAACAATCTTCCCGTCACTCACGCCGTCTCTCTCTCACATCCTCCTCCTATCTTTCTCCCTGTCAGGCATTTTCATACCCCATAAAAACTTGTTTTAGATCTTATATAAAGTCTCCTGAAGCCCTTTTGATGACTGATCATGTTTCCCTTTAAAAGCTATTTGAGTTTCTAATCTCGTTTCTGTCAACGTTTCTCTCTTTTGCCGTTCAGAGCCGAGCTGTGTTTAAAGTCTGTCCGATGTAAATGCTGCACATCTATCATCAGATTCTTACCTTTTCCTCTCTTTCTGTTCTCCTCACAGTGGACGGATGCATAGACTGGTCAGTGGATCTGAAGGAGTACCACGTTCTGGCCGGTGAGCCCGTCCGGGTCAAATGTGCCTTGTTCTACAGCTACATAAGAACCAACTACACCATGGCCACCAACGCCAAGCTGCGCCTCATCTGGTACAAGAACAAAGGAGATGCAGAGGTAAGATTTATTGATGTAGTCTCACTATTGCATCTCCACAGCGTTAAAGAATGGTCTGACTGCACCTCATCATCATTCTGCTGTGGGGGGGAAATGCTCTGGTTTGTTTGTGGGTGGTGCTGAGCCCAGGATGTAGTGCTGGTGCCCCGGCAAGTAGCACAGGGAGTCGAGCACTTTTATTAACCCTATTCAGGATTCTTGGGGTCTTTTGGACCCCAAGTTATACGGTTTAGGTGACAGATATTGGATTTTTTTTTTTTTGTTATTTTTGAAGATTTTTTTCATATAAAAAGAGGGACATTGGTCATGCATTTGGAACCAAAAATACATCAACTTATTAAAAAAAATATTTAACACAGTATAAAAGTCTGTAATGAATACCAGCAAATATTTTGCACATATTCTTTCTTGGGGTCTAATAGACCCCGAAAGACCTTCTACGTATGGCAGCATGGAAGTCCTGAATAGGGTGAAAACAGCTACTTCACTGAAAAACCGAACACGGCTGATGTCCTGCATGATCCAAATGTTTGACAAAACAAAGGTTGCAGCTCAGAGGTTGCTGTTCTTGCTGATTTTTCAAATGGTAACACACGAAAAGACAAAGGATGGAAAAGACACATGAAATGCTCGATGAAGAAGGCATGAAATCTACATTCAGTGAGTCAGAGTTCAGTTGATGAGGATGCAAGGAAGGAAGAAAAGAAGGAAGGAAACAGATAAATAAATAGATAAATGAATAAATAAATAAACAAATAAATAAATAAGAACATTAGTGAATGCAGACTGACAAAAACAACCAAAAAAAAAAAAAAGTAAAATATATATTTATTCTTATTGGGCATATAAACTACCAAAATTTAGGACAAACACATTTTTAAAAAACAAACAAAAAAAACTTTATTGACAACTTTATTACATTCTAAGGCCTGCTTCACTGAATTTGCAAACGTCCATGTGACATAACTGTAAGTCCACAATACTCTGCTGCGCTGACCCCTCCATCAGTGTACAACCTAGAAATTGTCGATGCAAAGATTTTACTAAAAGGGCAACATTGTGCAGGTTCCACAGTGGAGTGCATGCAGAGGATACGTAGATATCTATATACTGTACATGTATGCTGTCCTGCAAGTTGACACCAAGTGGACTGAAGAAAACTAACACATCAGTGGAGTCTGCAGCCGTAAGGATGGATAATCAAATCTTAAACCATAAACCAGCCACATTTAATGAAACTGAAGAGTCCTGATCCAGGACTTTGACATTCAGTGACAATGATGTGACGCTGGCCATCACAGGGAACCAAGCGGTGTCTGTCACTGCAGTTCAAATAATTTGTTTTGGAAGGAATGTTGAAAATGACAGTTGATGATAGGCGTCCTAAGTTATTCTACAGGCAGTAGTGTATCAGAATAAAGATTGTATTTTTACAAATTTAAAGACGGTGCAGCGTTTCTTCTACTCTCACCAGCTGGAGTGCTGCTCTGCCACAGCAGTGCTGCCCCTGGTGGTGACTTCTGGTATATTCCCTGTTGTGTTTTTCTTTAGTTTTTTCTGTGTTTCTGTTGCGTTTTCCTTTCCCTTGTGTCCCATGTGCTCCTGCTCTGCTCTCTCTTTGTTTCTCCGTCCTTGTTACTTTCATTTTGTATTATTTTACCTCGTATGTTTTTGTTTCATCCCTGTCTGTGTTTTCCCACCTTTCTGATCATCGCTGTCAGCTTCTGTGAGTTCGTCTTTTCCTCCCACCACCTGTGTCACATCGTCTGTTCGCCTGTCGTTGTGTCCTTCGTCCTTCCTTTTTGTCTCCCCTGTGTTTTCGATCTCTCTTCTGTTTGGATATTACTTTTGGACTTCATTTGGACTCTATTATCGCAACCATAACTTATTTTAAATTTGCTATGCATTTATTCATCCTACCTGTTCCATAGTGTCTCTGTTTTTGTCCCTTTCTGAACTCCTCGGGGCCATTTCTCTGTGCTGCATCGCACAAATGAAACAGAGGTTCTCCTTCTAGCTGTTATAAAAATCAAATTATCTTTTGGTGCTGAAAAACCTTCAGGAACATCTCAAGATAAAAACTAATATTATTTTTTAAAAAGACCTGACATTCAGCATTATTTTATCAGTTTGTGCTCGACACGTAGAAGTCTGCAGATCTTACTGTTAGTGGTCACAGTAATCCAAAGCGCTTCAACAGAAGACATCTGTCCCTCTTTCTGGTCCACACAGACGTTTCACCTCTCATCCAAAGGGCTTTACCGAGCTCCAACCGACTTACGGAGACCTCTAGGTATTTATTCTCACCCCTGAATCACATGGCTCGTGGCCCGTTAGCATCCCAAAACCTGTTAATGACTCACGTGTCATTCACACCTCGGAGCACGTGAGTCATGAGCAGCAACATGTGACTCTGGGGGGTGAGAATAAACACCTGAGACTCCCCCAACACGGTCAGGAAGCCTCGCGGATGAGAGGTGGAACATCTTCAAGAACCAAAAAGGGGAGAAGCCCAGTTGCAAACAAGGATTCATTGACTCGTATTCCATTTTGCTGTTTGCTAACTGGAAAGCGCTGCAGGTCTTTGATCAATAACGCCAAATAAAATGCACTTTGTTGTTCGAGAAAGTCACTTAAAAGTAAAAGCTAGCAGCCTGGTTGCAGGATGCTTTAGAACCGTCTTTACTTTCTTTGCACTCGTTTGTGTCTGGCTGAGTAATTGCCAATACATACAAAACTAGAAGGACTGATAAATCATAGCGTGGTCCCACGTGCTCTAATAAAATAAAAACCCCAAAACATCCACCTCTCCCAGCAGCGGCGATGATATCTGAATAATAAGGCGGCATTTAGGGGGATTAAATGTGGACCAGATGACCCACGCAATGTGTAGCTCTGTAGTGTTTACAGTGAAATATAGCATGGATAGATGGATGGATGGATGGATGGATGGATGGATGGATAGATGGATAGATAGATGGATAGATGGATAGATAGATAGATAGATAGATAGATGGATAGATGGATAGATAGATAGATAGATAGATACCAGGTGCAAAAAAAAGGCATTAATTGGAATGAAAACCTCTAATGGTTAAATGTCCTGGTAGATTAATTGTAGCAACTGGACTTGCTTGAGTTCCTAGAAGACGTTCCACCTCTCATCCAAGAGGCTTCATCAGCCCTGACTGACTAGTTGGGAGTTCCAGATCCTTATATCCTTAAGGAGCCATGAACAGCTGAGTTTTAATTGGGGTTTGTTGCTCCTCCCACTCGTTATGTAAGTTGTCAGTGCTCCTCCTGTCACAAAGGGGTTCGTTATGGTGTGTTGTGGCTAGGTGTGAAGCAGTTTCATCTTCCTGGGGAGAGATCATAGGACTGAGTTGTAATCAGGTGATAGATGATGCCTCAGACCTCCACCTCTGCTGAGGGATGGTCTTTCCAGTTAGATGGCTTCTTTCACCCCTCTCTCAAACCATCTGTCCTCCCTGGCCAACATCTGTACGTTGTTGTCTTCGAATAAGTATCTGGAACTCCCAACTAGTCAGTCAGAACTGATGAAGCCTCTTGGATGAGAGGTGGAACGTCTTCAAGGAACTCAAGCAAGTCCAGTTGCTACGATTAACCTACCAGAACAACCACGACCTGGATGACTGAGGACCTTCACAGAGAAAATGGTTAAATGGTTGTCATTTTAGTAGGATATTTGCAATAAATACACAGTTTAACTTATTTTAATAGTTACCATGCTGTATTCTTTGTGTCCTCTAGGAGCCCATCATCTTCTCAGGTCACAGGCTGAGCAAAGAGGACGACTCCATCTGGTTCCGATCTGCTGAGTTGGAAGACAACGGATTCTACACATGTGTTCTGAGGTAACAGTCTGAGCTCCCTCCGACCGGTAACTCTGCAGAGCCGCGCATCAACCCCCCAAGTAAAACAACTGCAACCCAGATCCTTCCGAGGAAGTATGATTCAGGATTATTTCTGGTTCAGCTGGGTGCATTGCTGATAACGCTTTGTGAATATCTCATAAACACAGCTCCTCTCCCCTAACGGGAGTCGGGTCAGAGTACGCCGAACAAAACTTTATTTTGAAGTAGTTTCACTTCCAGCCCCGGCACATTTTCTTCATAAGACTAAATAAACACAGTGAGCGTTTTACCAGCGCGCAAACAAAATACTTGTGGCCCGGCTCTGACCCGCAGCACGCAGAGCTCATGGATTTGCCTCCGTATTGTTGATTCCATCACATGGGAACAACCTTGGAATAGATTTCTGACTCCGAGCGCGTCTCTGCGCAGGTGGTCCATTTACATCGCACGGCCAAAAGGCAGCTCTGCTGAACAAAACCAACGTGGAGTTTTATTCAAAAGTTGTCAGGATGCATTTTAAGAAAAACTGCCCCCTGCCCTCAATAATCAATATTTCTGAGCACAGGTGATGATATTTCCCCCCAAAACTTGCTATTTTATCAGGATATTTTTTGAGCTGCTATTTATTCAGTCAGTAGCACATTCATAGTTTTTGTTCTTTTTTTTTTTTTTAACATTACTTCATTACATTTCTGGTCAAAACAGCCAAACAGGTGTGATTGTGTGGACATGTGTGTTGCTGCTCTGCCAGTCCTGTGGATCGCTGCCAGTTTACTAAATTGAATATTTACAATATGGCTGTTGGCGCCACATCACAAACTGGCCTGAGTCCTGTGCGGCCCTTTAGGGATGTGTGTGTTTGTGTGTGAAAGTGTTTGATTCTACAGCGGACTGTGTGTGTGTGTGTGTGTGTGTGTGTGTGGGAGACGAACCAACTCCTGTGTACCGGTTGGCTTTGTAGCCTGGAACAAGGTATACAGTCTTGTTTACCTGCAGGTGGATGCTGCATGTGTGTGTGTGTGTGTGTGTGTGTGTGTGTCTGCATAATAAACTGAATTAAAATATGCTCTCCTGTAACGCTATAAAAACGTAAATATTTTGTTCGCCGATAGCCACCGGCCTCACCTCGGTTCCTACCTTAGAATGAGCTTGTGTCGTGATTGATCTCTGCAGCCAAGGTTACTGTAATAAATCACACCTAGAAATTGCAGTAATTTTAAAACCTGCGTGATTTATGTGATTATTTTTGGTCAAACACGAGCATTTGAAAGTGCTGACTTGCATAAAAAGTTTATTTGTTGAACTTAGATTGGGGGAACCGGATGTTGGGTTGCTACAGCCAAGGTTGTTTAAAAGTTAACGATAGTGTGGATAACAGAAATACACACAATTAATGGAATAATGACACCAAAGTCTTGCTTTAATGGCCGTCCATTTACAGTATTAGACTAAAAGCACAGAGGAAATGTAAGAGCACTTGGATCACTGATATTTCTCAAAATGGACTTTATCAGCGGATGTAGCTGAAGGTATAGTTTTCATGGAAATAGCTCAGTTGGCATCACATCTATGCAACATGTCAGTGAAGGTTCTCAGTCATCCAGGTCATGGTTATTCTGGTAGATTAATCGTAGCAACTGGACTTGCTTGAGTTCCTTGAAGACGTTCCACCTCTCATCCAAGAGGCTTCATCAGCTCTGACTGACTAGTTGGGAGTTCCACATACTTTTATCCTTAAGGAGCCATTAACACTTGAGTTTTGGTTTCAATTAGGGGTGTGTTGCTCCTCCCCCTGGTTGTGTGAGTCCTTAGTGCCGCAATGGAGTTCGCTAAGGTCTTCGTGGCTAGGTGTGGATGTGGAACCTAGCCATGAAAGACCTTAACGAACCCCACTGTGTGACGAGAGGTGAAACGTCTTCAAGGAACTCAAGCAAGTCCAGTTGCTACGACTCATCTACGAGGACTATACACATTATTTATTACAACACTGTCTCCTAAAAATGGTGTTCATATACAATTAAACTGCATTCTTTATTAGGTTTTGAAAGAACAGTATGGTGTAGTAGGAAACATTTCCACTTTCAACAAGCCAAAAAGTTCATATTAGGTGTTTGGAGAAGGTTTTGTCATTAGTCAGTTTCATTTTCACTCACTGTTTGATTAGGTTTAAACTCCACAGCTGCTCGTTTAGATTGAAGAAAAGGCCACGTTTTGGTTAAAGTAGGGTTACCATGGTGATGAATCTAATATCTGATTGGTTGTGCTGCTGAAAAGGAGCAACAATAGGAAAGCAATGCAATAAATGGTAACACTGGTTAGAAATGTGTTTGTAATAAATCACAAACAAATATAAACGGGCAGAAAACACGTTTCCACCCCCCAAATACAACTGAAAATGTTTAGTTGTGTAGAAATGTAGCTGTGGAGAGACACGATGAAACGTTTCCATAATTAAACTCCATCAACGTGGAGCATCTTCATCAGATGCAGATATTCTCCAGAGTTTAAACCTGTTGATGATGAAGAAGCAAAAACCGCAAACAACCCAAAAACAATGAAAGAAGGAACAGACAAAGAAAAGAATAAAAAACATAAGAAGTAAGAATTGAAGAATTCAGAATGGAGAAAGAAGGAAAGAAAACAGAAACCACAAAAAAAACAAAAAAAAAAAAAAAACCAAAGAAAAAAGCAGAATTTCACCCATATTTGACAGAACATGAGAGAAATGCACGATGCCAGAGATTTAAAAAATATATAAAATACATAATGATAACTGAGCTGTTTCAATCTGTGGGTGAAAGCAATTAAATATGGTGGAAAACCCCTTTTTCTTTGGCTTTGATTTTCTTTTTAAAAACACATTTCCAGGTCACGAATGAACCTGTACATTGAGTCTGAGTCTTATTTTTTTCAGCTCTTCACATAGAAATCCAGCAGAAACGAAATAGAACAGAACACAAGTTAGACAACCCAGAGGTAGAGGAATATATATGGACGAGAAAACGAAGGTGAAAAGTAAAACTGTGACCAAAACTGTCCGTCCTGGGTCGGCTGTAAACCGACCATATGGCCCTGAGTTCTGCAATCAGTCACGTCTCCCGTCCGGTGAGAGATCGTTGGCAACATTTCAGATGCTGTCAGTTTGTTTTTTAAAGTGTGTAAACTGTTTACTACCTTTCTAAATGTCTCACTGCTTGTCTGTTTTTTTTTTTTTTGCAATGTCACCACGTTCCCACCTCTCAGCGAGTTGCAATTAGCCGGTTTTAGCCTTTAACAAAAGAAGATGAGAAGCGGCGCCGGCAGAGCAGCTCTCCTCTTGTTTTTATGCCATAAATCACCATCTCTCCCCTCCGCTCTACTTGATCCTGCTTGTCTCTCCTCCTCTGCATCTGATACCTTCGCCACCTTCGCCGTCTCCCGTTTCTCTCCCTTTGCACCTTTTTCTCCATCACCTTCCCCCCCCAACCCAATTTTTTTTTTTTTCCCTCCCACACCTAATCTGCTTTCCCTTCATCTCGCCGGCTGTCTCCATCCTCTGCACTTCTTTCTCCTCCACCTCCTGTTTTTTTTCTTCTCTCCTGCCCCTGTTCCATCTTTCTCCCATTCCCCACTCCGGTTGCTCGCTGTCAGCGCCACCGATTCCCCCCTCAACTCCCTCGTCCTCCCCCTCCTCTGCTCTCCTCCCACCTCCTTTTCCTGCCAGAGCTTGACACCTATCCTCCTTAACAAGCTCTCTCTCCCGCTCTCTCTCTCTTTCTGTCTTTGCCTCGCTCTCTCAGCATGACAACCTAATTAGGGCTTGGTGTCTGTCATTGTCTCAGGGTCTCTTATTAACACACACATGCACGGAAAGGCTCAGCACCTCCTTTCCTAGTGGGGAGCCACCAACTGGATCTTATTATATTACTAGAAGGTTGCATCTAGGATGTGTGTGGTGGGGGGGTAAAGCCACAGGGAGACCATGCTTTTAAATGTGTTTATCGCCCTTCATCTGATGTATATCGTTGCTGCTGTTACAGGGAAGTTGCCATATGTTGCCTTTTTATACAACCTGAAACCAGCGTCTCTTTTATTCCGGATTAATTTCCCATTACCTCCTGATACACAGTTCTGATGGAGCCGGGCTTCATTAAGGGACAATAAAAAAAACATCAGCTTAATTTCATTTGGATTTACAGTCCGCCTAAAACGAGTGTGATCTCTTGCAAAAAAAAAAAAAAAGTTTCCAAGAGCAGTTGGATACTTCATTTATCTCCATATGCTGCCAAGGTTCCACCATGAATCTTCTCTCCAATATGTCAGCTTTCCAGGAATTGGCGTGATGCTTCATTGTGACACCCGCACTTGCCTTTACGTTTTTGTAAATGGCTATAAATGGTCACTAAATTTGGATGCTGTCAGCCCATTAGTCGCACACGTATGGGCCAGCAGGGACTTCCTCCTCCAGCTTCGACTGGGCCAGAAGGCGTATTATCATCCATTCTGATTCTTTATAACGCGAAACCCCCGACAACGCTGGCGACTTTAAGTGTGAATAAGTGCATGTAAAATCTGCAGGAATGGAGCTTTGTGATGCTGGTGCAGAGCTACACCCAGCAGGATGTATTTTAACCCAAACCTTTGCTGAAGTAGTTTTGGCGGCTGAACTTTAAACAAACACTGAGTAAAAAGCACAGAAAGTCAAAGTACAATGCTATAAAAATAGTTACAACTGGTCTACAATGTACAGTCTCCAATGACTTTATAAGTAAAACAATACAGCTAAATCCCCGTTAAAGGTAACAGCAGCCTACTGAGCTCATCAGAATGTGGACGTTCCTACTAGCCTACATGCATGTGAATGAATCAGCGATGATGACAAGACATTTAATGGGAGGATAACATCCGAATCAAGTAAAAAAAAGCTGCTGTTAACAGCGAATCAAACACAGGATAGATGCAAGTGGTTCATATTCTTGGAACAAAAACATCAGGACATCCAAGGAAGTAGTAAAGCTTTA